TATGGTTAACTAGTGACTGACCCTGCCCTCTCATCCCCAGGCAACCTTGTTAGAAAACAAGAAAAATATCATACAACTAATAATAATTAAAGAAATCATGGGCCAGGACTCATACTTTAAACACTCTAGTAATCTGCTTTGCCAATAACAGAAAATGCTGTTTGTGAGATTGTTCTTCCAAATTGGAAATATTTGCTTGAAGTACACTGATGTTTCACCTTTGGAGATATTGGTTTTAACCAATAAAAAATGGTTCACTCTCTTATGGTAAAGGAAATTATACCTATTATGATCAGTAAGAAATTATTTTATCTTTGCAATGATTAATGACTGAATGTACATCTGTAGCACAGTGAAGAACAATAATGTACACCTTTTAAAACCAAAAACAAGATATCAATTTTAAAGAAAAGTTATGTAATTTCTGTCAAACACATAAAGCAATGTGTTTTACTCTAATTACTTTACAAGCCATAAGTGCTTTGGGAAAAATAAAATATTCCCATTTTTAAGTGTGTTTCTATGTGTGAGAGAATGTCTTCCATGTGTATGTAAGTGACACCTGAAGGAAGAGGTGTCAGATTCCCTGGATCTGGAGTTGCAGATAGTTATGAGCCCCACAACTTAAGCACAGGGATCCAATCAAAGGTCATCCCAAAGAAGACTGTGCTGGGCCACTTGTATATCTTCAAAGTAATTTTTATCCAATATACTAAATCTTTCACATATTATCACAAATTAAAAGAACTAAATAAATGGTGAAATAACCAATGATCATTGTGAACAAGGAGAATCAGTATTATAATGCCAGGTATGTTCAATTTGCAATATGAATTCAACACACTCAAGAAAAACTAATGATTTATAAAAGAAAAGCTGATTCTAAACCTATATGGAAAGCAGAAAAATATAGAATGCCCAATAGGATTGTGACACAATTTGAATTCTACACAAAGTACAATACTAGAAAAAAAAAGGATGATATATTTGTCCAAAAAAAAAAACTGATGGAGAGAAAAAGTCAAGAAAAAAAGCATAAAACTATAGTGAAGTTTCAAACAAAGGACCAAAGGAAACTCAGCAAGTAAAATTGTGATCTTGAGACATGTTACCCAAGTTCCTACGATTCTATAGGAATATATGAAGTCTAAGAACATATGTATAGAGATTAAGTACACAAAGGTTTCTCAACTCCTACAAAACTGACTTAAACTGATCCTAAACTGTTAGGTTACTGGCCCTCCAGCTGGTGATCTTCCTACCAACATATACGCCCCATTGTCTAGAGCTTTCTCTGGACATACAGAGCAGAGAAATCTGCTGTGCCTCAGCAGCCCCTTTATTTTCTCTTTGGATTCAATAAATGCAGCCACATTAATGCTTGTGAGAAATATGAAATATGAATCTTTTCTATCAATGACTATAAAAATTGCGTTTAAAATATGGAAGTCAAATCATAACACTTCCTCCATTTAGTTAAATATTGTTTATTTCAGGCCCCAAGCCTAAATTATAGGAATTTCATGGCTGGAAGAAGGGACTGACTCTCCATTCCAGTAAGTAGTGCACATTCCTGCTTCCTTCACACTCATGTAATGATTAAGACTGTGAAGTCTGACACTAGATATTGGGGGAAAGATGCAGACACCACTTTCCTTAGGATAAAATCAAGTGCAGTTCCTATCTAGGTTAGATGCCCTTTCACCAGCACACCTTCCTGAGCAAGAGAAAATTTTGTCTTGTCCAGACACTTATTTCTACCAATTCACAGGTTAGCCTAAGAACATAACTCACCCAAGGAATGACCTCAGATGGCCTCACAGGATAAATGCTTCCCAACAGCTTCTGTAGAAGCCTGGTGACTCTGGAACTCTGCAGTTCAGCAAAAGAACCCCAGGGATGGAATTCTACCCCGGCCAGCAGGGCTTCAATGGGAACTCAACCACCCTAAGGATGGAATGATAAGGATAGGAGACACAAAGGAAGACACCAAGATAGGATTCTGATCGAGGTGCAACTTTATTTTTCTCCAAGAGGTTTTATATAGCTCTTGCAGGGTAGGGGGAGCAGGAAGCTGTTATCTGCGTGGAGCAAGCTAACGCAGCTGCAGGATGTTTGTGTAGGATGTTTGTGCAGGATGTTGACAGGGTGAAAAGGCCAAGGGTTCTGACTCAATGTCCTGTCACTAGGCAACGAGACCACACGATATCTATCTGATGTCCTAGGAGGCCAGATAAAGCATCAGATTTCCTGGAACAGGAATTACAGTTACTTCTGAGCTATCTGATATTGGTACTAGGAACTAAATATGGGTACTCATCAGGAGCAATACTACTGAGCAAACTCTTTAGCTCCCCAATATGACATTATAATGCAGAAGATGAAAATGCTCCATTACTCCTTCTGTCTCCTATCACTTGAACATGATGAAAGTCCCCGCTAGATGGTTGTCAAAGGATTTCAGTCAGATTATATTAGGAAATTTTCCATAATTTTAGATATGCTTTTTCTTTTTGTATTCTTTTAAGATAGCCATGGCTCCCTGGAACTCATTATGTGGACCAACCTGACCTCAAATTCAGAGAAATTGGCCTGCCCTGTCTCCCGAGTGCTGGGGTTATAGGGATGCACCTCTAAGCCAAGCTATGTTTTTACATGGCCTATCTTTGAATCAGAGAAATAAAGGACAAACTAAGAGTTTACAAGGAACCAGGGATGTTTCGATAAAGAGTAATACTTCTTGAAATTTTATAATAATAATTTAAACTGGCAAATCATTCCATATCTTCTCAATAATAGGGTTATTTTCTTTGCTTTGTTAATTTCAACCAATTAAAAATGCTTAACTGTGTTTATATTTTTACCTGAGCCATGTTGTGTATATAGCAATGAGAGGACAACTTTAAAGGTGTCTATTATCTACTTCTATGTGAGTTTTATAGATGAAATCCATAGTGCTTTTTGGCTACACATGAACTCAATGGCATTTGGTTGGCTTTAAAAATTATTCATGTATGGGCTGGTGTAGGAGTGTGCATATGACACAACCCAAGTGAAGAAATAAAAGAAAAATTTCTAAGAGTATTATGGGTTTCTTAGAGATTGAATTTAGGTCATCACGCTAAGCAGCAACTCACTTTACCAACTGAGATAATTCTGTGGCATTCACTTGTGGTTCTGAGAAAGTGTTATGAAAAAATGTTTAGTCCTCAGAATAAACTAATACATTCCAAAAGAAAGTGATATGGGTATATTATTTTCATTTGCAAATAAGATTTTTTATTCAAATTGTTCTGTTTTCCACTATCCTTTGATGAAAGTATGTTTACAATTTGAAAAGAAAACAAAGCCAGGCAGTGGTGGCGCCTTTAATCCCAGCACTCGGGAGGCAGAGACAGGCGGATCTTTGTGAGTTCGAGGCCAGCCTGGGCTACCAAGTGAGTTCCAGGAAAGGCGCAAAGCTACACAGAGAAACCCTGTCTTGAAAAACCAAAAAATAAAATAAAAAATAAAAATAAAAATAAAAAAAAGAGAAAACAATATTTTAGTTATGTTTCAACCAATCTTATTTAAGAATCAGAGATGTGCCTCAGTGGGAAATGTCTGTGGTATGTGAGATTGACAACCTCATCTTGATCATCATATGAATAAGAAAAAAAAGGAGTCCCCACAAAGTTGCCTTCCAGTCTCCGAAATGTGTCATGGCTCATAAAACTGTAATCATATCTCTCTGTCTCTCTCTCTGTGTCTCTCTCTGTGTCTCTGTCTGTCTGTCTGTCTGTCTGTCTGTCTGTCTGTCTGTCTCTCTCTCTCACACACACACACACACACACACACACACACACACACACACACACTAGAATTTCTTTTTAAACAAATTTCATTACCATTACATTATCTGGCATCTCTGGATAATTTCCTTAGAATGTAGCATTTCAAGATGAAGTGTTAAATGGATAACTAATGGGGACATGAACACACATAGAACTTCAAATACTATATACATATCCATAGTGATCAAGTATGTTTTTAAATATACAGCTGATTGCTGATTATCCTACTTTATTACATCTCTACCACATACATGAAAATGCAGCTTTGGATACATATGAGGTATTTAATGTTTTTTTGTATTCTCTTCTATTAAGAATTTTAACATTAACATTGTTAAAACATGCTAATAAAACAGCATACATTGGGGTACAATATTCTACCCTTGGACTTGTACTCAAGAGGGTGACACATAAGCATCAAGAGTTTAAACGTATCCCTGGCTCATTACTGACATTGAAAAATAAATTTCAAAGGAATCTGTGAAAAAATGAAGAAAAAAAAAAAACCAGGAAAACTCACCACCTTTTCATAGACACCCTTACTTGAATAGTATGATCACACACTGCCTGATATTTAAATAAACAATAGACCACTTAGATGATGGGCATCCCATTCTATACATTGTAGCAGAAAAATACCTATTACTAAGTGAAAACACAACAGAAGATGAACAGAAGTCAAAGAAAGAATATAAGAACCACAAAATACACTTCACAAAATGGATTTGCCACACATATAGCACACTGTAGTATCTACCTCAAATGTTGCCAAACAGAAACCACAATGCAGTCATCTCCACAATCTGTCTTGAGAGAACATGGTAAATAATTTACTTCCTTCAAGGTTATGATGGAAAAAGAGATGAAACAAGATCTTTTCTTGAAACTGAAGACAACTGTGATGTCTCTAAAGTCCTTATCAAATTGTTTAGCCAAATAGACATATGAATTATTTCCTATTTTCTGACATCAAGATCATATATGAAGGCTTAAAAATGTGTACAGGGTGAGATATAGCCAAGCAGTTAAGAGGAGGTCATTCCCAGGACAAAGGTTGGGTTTTTTTAAACTTCCTGTAATTCCTGCAAAAAAGGAGATCCAATGATCTAAATTTTTGGGGAATCAGCATGCACATACCCACACAAAGACACACTGACATCACAAAACTAAAATTTAAAAAAATCTTTAAATAATCAGATTTTCAGTCAAGAACATTTTTCTCTTGTAAGCATTTGTTCCTGTAACTCAGTTGTTGAGGCATTAAAAGGCTTACTTACAGAGTTTTTCTTCATCATGAACTGGTTCATGTAACAGAAAACAAGAACATAGGATTGAAGTCAGAGAAATCAATCTGTCTTAGTTGGTGGTATCATTTGGGAAGATATATGTAATGCTCACCCTGCTGGAGAAAGTACCTCCCTGGGAGTGAGCATGAGAGTTCACATCCACACACCATTTCCAGTTCCCACTTTCACATTCATGCCACAGGTGGAAGGTGTGAGTTCATAGATATCTTCTTCTATAGCTGCCATGTTTGACACTTGTTGCCATGCCACTTTTATGGTTATCCTGGATCCCTCTGGAACCAAGGGCCAACTTTTAGTAAGTTGACTTACTTTGACATAATGTTTTATCACAGCAACAGAAAAGGCACTAATACACACCCATTAAGTGTTAAATCTGGATGCCTTATTTCATGTAATTGAAGAGAACTGTAGAATAGAAAAGTGCTACCTCATCATTTTGTCCATATGAGTTTGACGGTGCAAACAAAATAAAGAGGAACATCATAAGGCTTGAACAGATAGGTGACACTTGTCAGGTATTTTGTCCAGATTAAACTTGTGTAACTGAATGTAAGTCTGTTGGTAAAGATCTTCCAAAACCTTTATGGCCAGATTTCCTTGAGTATTAGTTTTCTCAGGCCCTCAAAGACGACTGTAAATTGAAAAAGCTTTAAGAGACCAATGACACACTAAAAGTTTTACTCTTGTATAAAGACTAACATGAAGTGCAAAACTTTGTTACACTCACTACTTTTATAGGGTTTCTCTGCAGTATGAATTTTTCTCATGACTTCAAAGACTGATGATTCATGTAAAGGCTTTACCACATTGATTATATTCATAGGATTTATCTCCAAAATGTGTTCTCTTATGTATTTGAAGATGATTGTGTCATGAAAGGCTTTATCACATTGATTATATTTGAAGGGTTTCTCACTAGTATGAGTTCTTTTATGTATTTGGAGATTAATAGCACATCCAAACTTTTATCACGTTGATAACATTCATAACTCTAGTATGTGTTCTTTTGTGTATATATAGAGGATTATTTTGTGAAAAGTCTTTATTACTTGGATTACATTTGTAGGGTTTCTCTCCAGTATGTGTTCTTTCATGTATGTGGAGATGGTTGTGTTGTGAAAAGGCTTAATCATAGGATTTCTCTCCAGTATACGTTCTTTTATATATCCAAAGATGACCTTGATTTGCAAAGGCTTTACCACACTGATCACAATCATAAGTTTCTCTCTAGTATGTATTCTTTTAAGTATTCTAAGATTATTGAGACATACAAAGGTGTTACCATGTTGGTTTCATTCATAGGCTTTCTGTCAAGAATGCATTCTTTCATGTATTTGGAGATGACTGGCACATGCAAAGCCTTTATCACACTGATTACATTTATAGGGTTTCTCTTCAGAATGTGTTCTTTCAAACATTTGAAGATTGCATTATTATGAAAAGGCTTTATCGCATTGATTCTATTTGTAGAGTTTGTCTCCAGTATGTCTTTTTTTATGTTTTTGGAGACGATTGTGTCGTGAAAAGGCTTTATCACATTGATTACATTTGTAGGGTTTCTCTCCAGTATGTGTTCTTTCATGTACTCTGAGATTACTGGCATATGCAAAGGCTTTATCACATTGATTACATTTGTAGGGTTTCTCTCCAGAATGTGTTCTTTCATGTACTCTGAGATTACTGGCATATGCAAAGGCTTTATCACATTGATTACATTTGTAGGGTTTCTCTCCAGTATGTGTTCTTTCATGTATTTGGAGATTATTGGCACATGTAAAGTGTTTACCACATTGATTACATTTGTAGGGTTTCTCTCCAGTATGTGTTCTTTTATGTACTCTGAGATTACTAGCATATGCAAAGGCTTTATCACATTGATTACATTTGTAGGGTTTCTCTCCAGTATGTGTTCTTTTATGAATTTGGAGACTACTCACACATACAAAGGCTTTACCACATTGATTACATTTATATGGTTTCTCTCCAGTATGTGTTCTTCCATGTATTTGGAGATTATTGGCACATGCAAAGTCTTTATCACATTGTTTACATTTGTAGGGTTTCTCTCCAGTATGTGTTCTTTCATGCATTTGAAGATTACTGTATTGTGAAAAGACTTTACCACATTGATTACATTTGTAGGGTTTCTCTCCAGTATGTGTTCTTTCATGTCTTTGGAGATGACTGTGCTGATAAAAGGCTTTATCACATTGACTGCATTTGTATGGTTTCTCTCCAGAATGTGTCCTTTGATGTATTCTGAGAGTTTTGAGTTCTGAATAGGCTTTATCACATTGATTACATTTGTAGGGTTTCTCGCCAGTATGTGTTCTTTCATATATTTGGAGATTACTGGCACATCCAAAGTCTGTAGCACATTGATTACATTTGTAGGTTTTCTCTCCAGAATGTGTTCTTCCATGAATTTGAAGATTACTATGTTGTGAAAAAGCTTTATCACATTGATTACATTTGTAGGGTTTCTTTTCAACATGTGCTATTTTATGTACTCTAAGATTACCGGCATATTTAAAGGCTTTACCACATTGATTAGATTCATATGTTTTTTCTCCAATATGTATTCTTTTATGTATTTGAAGATGACCATGACTTGTGAAGGCTTTACCACACTGATTACTTTCATTGGTTTTCATTCCAGCACATGTTCCTTTAAGTATTTGGAGAATACTGTTG